CCCCAAAACCCCAAAACCCCAAAACCCCAAAACCCCTGATATTATTCTGAAATTGAAAATAAATTTACAAATTTTATACTTTTCTCAGGTCTAAGTTGGAGCTTATTCATCATCAGATTTCATAATAGATGGGAATTTGCCCATTTTTAAAGCAATAGGAGCCTTCCTTCTGGTCTTGACGAGGATATCTGACCTAGTATGTTTTCAATCAAATTTCTTTGTCACTGCATTTGCTAAGCTTCTTTTGCTTCTTTTTCTAAAGGAAAGTTAAAGTTTAGGTTTTAGTCTCAGAATTTGAAAGTTTTTGTGAAATTCAATAGGTAAATTTGTTGGAATTATGAAGAAATCAAATCAAAGTCTTACCTAACATTATCACTAGAGTCACTGTGCTTCTGTGCAAACTGTTTTTGGTCTGACAGCGGAGAAGTTACTGTAGCATTCACAGGAGTTTTGGAAATACTTTCTCTGGAATATACAGAGCAGGATGAAATTACTAATACGAAGAGACGAATATCCTCATCTTGAAGTACATCGCTGTTTAGAAGTTTTTGATTATTGCTAAATTTAGTCATTAATTTTTCTCTTATTGACCGTCTTTGTAAGGTTTCTCTAAATCCCCCTGAATTTATCCCATCTAGCCTGGTCTTCAAACACTCAACATACATTTTTGCTCGTTCAGTTATATCCAAGTATCCTAGCTTTTGTAGATCTGAGAGCGAGGCTTCAGCAGTAGCTATTGATACAGAGATCTCTTTGATATTAAACTCCTTATTAAAGTTGATCTCTCAGATTCATCTGAGTGTACCAAGATGTGCTATAGCTTGACCTCTAATACATCTCAGTTCGGTAAACTTTTTCATAGATTTGATGAAATATCTCTTAGCTTCACGGTAGTCTTTTTCCTCGTTCATCATGGCTAAAACCGCAAACATCTTGTACATATGAGCTTGGGCCTTATTTGCTTAGATTATCTTTCTTCTTGTATTCATTCATCGCCTTTGTAGCATCAGAGAATTTCGAGAGACGGATAAGAGTGGCAACATAGTAAATTACCATTAATTCTTCAGCTTGGGATCTTTCTTCACAATGACTCTTCTGTAGTTTGATCTTTAATGGGCTAGGAAGACCAATTTTGACCCTTGGAATTTCCTTTGGAGATTTCTTTTCAATACTATCTTTTTCATTTGACTCAGAATCAATGGACTCAGTTCTGGTATAAAACTTAGGCTTTGAAGTCTGCTCTTCAACCTCATTATCCTTGCTAGATGCATCCTCAGAGTCATTATCTTTTGGGTGAAAGGAAATCTTCTGTGGTTTGAGAAGATTAGCTAACCCATGCTTCCTCCTGTATGTAAAATCCTTATACATCTGGCTTCCTGAAAGCTTGAAGCTATTAGCAATTAGTTGAAGGCAGCTTTCATTTTGCTCATCATATTCATGAGTATCCTTCTTTCTGTTGATTCCTCTATAAATACAAGCCCAGATGTTAGATTCTTTCTCAACAAATTCATTGAGACCAAACTCACTATAGGAATCAGGTTTAAGAATGTACCTTTGATGCTTGTCAACTGTTTCAAGTCATTTTTGGCAATATTCTTTGTAGAAATTACAGCATTTGAGGTGAAACTCTGATCTCTGATACCATCCTTCTTCCTCAAGGAGTTCCAGGGCTCTAGTGTTCATAAAAGGAAGTAAGGTCAAGGAGCCCTCCTTGGGCTTGAACACTATTAATGATGCTTTTATTAAACTTTCTTTGTATGATTTCCAAGTACTGTTTCCCCACATTTTGGTGAGTTCTTCTTGCTTAACCCCTCCAGGAAGAAGCCCAATGAATTTGAACAGATCCAATGCCTCTTTTCTGGTCTTTTGTAGGTTCTTAATTGATACGTCAAGGGACATCCGTAATGATCCGTATGATTGCATGTCATCTTGTGATAGTGCATCCATAATATTTGATTCCAAAAGTTGCTGAAAAAGACTCAACAAAGTTTGGCTCTCAAGCAAAGGTGCTGCAAGAGAGATAGCTTGAGGATGTCCCCCAAGCATTAAGACGAATGGGTGATCAGATAAAATTCCAGCTCTTCTGGTTAAGCCAGGGAGATGTTGGTTTATTGAATGATCAGAAGGGATTTCATAGTCTAAAAGTTCTTGTAGTTCTTCATTCCTAATCTGCCTTGGTGCTTTATCAAGTAGCAGTCTGATCGAAGCACTTGGTGATAAAGAATAAATATGATAAGGCATTTCTTGGACATGCTCAAGTTTGCTTATATATTTCCTTGATGTACAAAGTATTTTAATTAATGGGCAATTATCTAAAAGTGTATCCAAATATTTCACAAATAGGGTACCATCATCTTCTAATGGGTCCTCTCAATTGTCTAAAATGATTAAGGCTTCTTTATGTTTAAGGATCTTTAAAATATAATGTCCCATGAGGTCTTCTAAGGGCTCTTCATTATTCCTATCTTCAGTACTCGAATTTTCTTTACTTGAGATTTTCTGAAGCTCTTTAATCTCATCTTTTTCAACCCTTCCATTATTTTGGATTCCAATACTAAGCCTAGTAAGGAACATTTGGGCAGATTCTCATCCCTGAAGGCTGACGTACAAGGTGCCATCAACATACTTATTTCTGTCTCTAATATGGTTGGCTATTCCTTTAGCAAGACTCGTCTTCCCTATTCCTGGTGGACCAAGAATATTCACTAATCTGCTGGTTTCAAGGATCGTGATTACCTCTCACATTTCGCTCTGTCTACCCTTGAAATGAGCTACTGGGGAAGGGACGATGTCAAAGAAAGGAAGAGTTTCGTATTTTCAAAGATTTCCTTTCTTGAATTTTGTGATGGGATAACACCTATGTTGGTTCTTCTTCTTGTCTTTCATGAAGTGCTCATCAGCTATCAGTAGACGGTATTTTGCCGCTTCATTATTATCAATAATGATTCTGATGTCTTCTTTTGCAAGATCAAATGCCCTTCAGACGGAGTATTTTTGGACGAACAATGCCTGATAGAACACTTGTGAGAACCGCAGTGAAGCTTTGTCAGAAATAGTCTGGTCTCCATCAATTCAGATAACATGCCTAGCTCCTGAATTGAGAAAAATATCAGCTGAGAATTCAGAATATCATGATGAAACAAAAACTACTTCATACTGATTCTCGTCTGGTTTTCCAGATTTGCTTAAATTTATGAGCTTTTTCAAATCATTTTCAAAGAGATTTCAGGCGAAGCCATTTTCGTCTTCAAGGAGTAAGACATCGCCCTTGTTTTTAGATCCTTCGTACAAGTTCCCAAGGTTTTGTTTGGTATTTCTCATGCCGTGACCTGTGAAATGGATGGCGAAGGGGGCATCTTGGATTACACTTCTGAAATTTGAACTTGTGGCTACATCTACTTTATATCTAAGTTCATGCTCAACTCCTCGGAGATGTTTCTCTATGTTCATGATCTCCTTCCTGTAGTCTAGCTGTAGCAGAGTCTCGATGGAGGCATTCAATTTCCTGATCAAAGGTGATGCAAATAAGAAGGCCAAATGATACCTTGGCTCATCTATTTCATCGATTAAATGAGCTAATCAAGAATCATTCTTTCCCTTTATCATTGATATTTGGGAATTAAGCTGATGAATCTCAGCATCCCGAAGCCTGAGCTCCTCCCGAAGTCTTTGTATTTCAAAATTAGGGTCATAAATCTTATCCTTAGGAGCTTTGAAAGACATAGTCTTAATTTGATACATTGTATTAGGGGGGTGTTCATCTTCCTGGATTGGAGCTTTAATCTCTTCAATACTAATCGCAGGCGTGAATCTTTGCTCAAACACTCTATAAGAATGTTCCCTTTTACTTACTTCTGATTAACAGGGAGGTTTTGTGATGGAACAAGAGGTGGTGGTTGGTCATCATCGCTATCAAATCCTGCCATGAGAGTACTTTCTCCATCCATAAGTTCAAGTTTGCTGAAAATGTTGTTTAAATTATTGCCTTCCTTGACTGTCGAAGCTAGGTTTTTACTACTAAAAGAGCCATTCTTTTGGTCAGTGGTCATATCATCTGCTATTCTTAGGTTATTAATAGTCAAGCCTAAAGTTTTGAACATTTCTGATTCAAATACCTGAATTTTTGATAGAATTCTTAATAGGATTCCTGCTAGGACTTTGGACAACTTCTTTCTGAGATTTGCTTTCTTCACCAGGACTGAGTGGTCTTACTACTATTTCATTCACCTTGGGTCAGAAGGGCACAAATATGTCTTTTGATACTGAAATATATGTATTTTGGTTCAAAATATTCACAAATATCTCAGTATCGGTTTCGGAATCTATTTTGGCTCCTAGTATTGCTAAAAAATCATGAAGAGTGTTTATTGGCCTGAGTAATTTCTCTATCTCTCCATCAATGCTAGAGGCTTCAGAGTCAGTGAAGCTATCAGTGCTCAGCTCTATTGGGATCATGTTTTTCTTAACAATTTTGGATCTGGCCTTCTTGATATTTCGATTTCTACTTGCAAAATTGTTATTCTTATTAAAATTGGGGTTTTATCAATATCTTTTTGGAACCCTTTTTGATAACTGGTGGAAGTCTTCTAGCCTGGTTTTGTACTAAAGCAGTAGGGACTAACTTCTGTGCATCTGGAGATATTCTTTTTTGGGATTTTAGCGCCTCAGGCGATTTCTCACTTTCAAAAATGGCACTTAGATTCTGTGGAATCGCATCAGTAATTCTTTTAGGAGGCTTAGGAGGTTTATTTCGTGCTTTTTGTTCCAGGAGTTTCTTTACCTTTAAAGTATGTTTGATCATCAAGATGCCTCATCGCTTCTTTCACTTTAACATTAGAAATAACTTGATCTGACCCTTCATTCAGTTCATAATACCCTCCATATTCAGAATGGAGGGAATTTTTCGGAACTCTTCGGTTATCCATTCAGATACTTGCACTTTGAGAAGTAAGTTGTATTCTGGGTTGAATATCTTTAAAAGGTGTGTTTATAATACTATCTCCCTTATATTTCCCAAATGACTTATAATAATCAGGATTCTTTGAAATCTCTGACATTATCTCATTCTCAACTATATTTTTGAGGTTTCAGCCAAGAAGGGAAAAATCAAGTTCATTAGAGTATCCCTTGTTCTTAGTGTAACTCCTTCGGGCTTCTTTCTCTTGAGATGGTTGTATACAACTGCCAGCCCTCATTTTACTGTTTTTTGCCATTTCTGACATGAATAGTTAGAAATTATTATACAAATTTAGAAGCTGTATGAGGGGTTTTGGGGTTTTGGGGTTTTGGGGTTTTGGGG